GAGGAAAGCACCCGCATGTGCCCCCACCGCGGTGGGAGAGCTGGGGACAGGGCCAGTGTCCCCTCCCAGCCTCTAGCCACCCTGCAGGTCCCTTTCTAGTGAGTGATGTTTTGCTCTCTGGGGTTTTTTAACTGAGCGCAAGCATCTAGCATGTCTTTCTGAGGGACCCAGCATTTTTTTAACTCTGATTATCTTCTCCATCCCAAAGCGGTGCAATTCACCCAATGCCAGGAGCTCCCTCCCCCAAGCTCCCAATGCCCTGGCCCTGCCCGCAGCCTCCAGCTACCGCATTCACCCCCGCAAGTCCTTGCCCAAGGACATTTTTGATGGTTGTGGTATCCAGCGCCTGGTGCCCGTTTCAGCTGCGTCCTCACCAGAGGGAGCTGTGTCCCTGCCGAAGGCATGGCCCCATTTTGGCCCAGTTCCCTACTCCCTCCCCTGCTCATAGCCCTTGGCAATGCTCCAGGCGACATTACTGCCTGTGTCTAATGGGCACCCAAAGGTGCCAGGACAGAGGAGAAGCCTGCTTGGGTTTGCATTTCTCCTGGCACCCACCTAGCCGTGCCAGAGACAGTCTGGGCCCTGCCAGGAGGCTCCTATGTCAGCCCCTGTGCCCTAAGTGCCCTGGGGGGATTGCAGGGTTTCTCCTGGGCTAGCACCGCCGGCAGTGCTGTACCTGCAGGCGTGCTGGGCCGGGGCGATTAGGGCTGGAGCCCCCCCATCCCCTGGAACAGCCCTTGCTTCAGCTGCTTTTGAGACTGATCCCAGGGCAAGCTCTAGTGCCACAGTGCAGTTGAGCTGTCCCTGCTGTCCTCACCTGTGTATCTGTGGGAGAGCGATCCTGGCTGCCACCCCTGTGCCACCCCCATCCAGCCCAGGAGCGGCTCTCTGCCACCTCCCCAGTGCGACATCCCAGCTGCATGCAGCCCCAGCTCCAGCCAGGCAGCATCTTCCCAGGGTTACTTTGCAGCCCCTCGTCAGGGGGCTTTGACACATAACCATGCACTAAGTATGGATAGTACCAATATCTCCACATCAAACCAGACATGCTGAGAGCAGTCCCAGCCCTGGAGTGTTGCTTCCTCTGGTGGCTCTTTACAACCAAGAAAGCAGGTTTTCAGCCTGGGCTTTACCTTTCAGGCTATATTCCCTGCCTCCCTGCACTGCCACAATGCTCGGCCGGAGCCAGGCAGGCTGGGACCAGCCCAGCCAGGGGTTGTCTCTCAGCAGTTTAATCCAGGCAGCAACGTGGGTCAGAAGAGGGTTTCCCAGGGCCCACCAGAGACAATGTCTGCTCTGTGTCCAGGCAGCCCCGGCGCCTGCACTTACCACTGCTGTAAGGCCGTGGGGTCATGAGAACTTGTACAACTTTATTGGGGTCTGACAGAGCCCTGAGGAATCCCAGAGCCGGGCAAGTCGGGGCTGGACGGAGGCTGGGAGCCCACCTCTGCGTTCCCCCATGGGCTCTGGCCACCTCCTTCCACCGAGCAGCACTGCGAGGCACCCACTGCAGAAGGGCTGGGGGACAGGAAAGCTTGGGGTAGCCCAGGGCACCAGCAGAGGAGGGGCAGGGATGTGGTTTGGCAGCGCCCTTGCCCCTCCTGCCTGCCCCCAGTCTGGGCTGGGCCCCAGCACCCTGTGTGGGATCCCTGAGGCAGGAGCAGCTTGGGAGCCCACCAGCCCCCGGCCGAAGGTATGGGGCAGACATGCTGGAGGGGTCTCCCCTTGCTGCTCTGGGGGAGATGACCCCCCCAGCTCCCCTCCACTAGGAATAAGCACTTCGGCCCCCAGCCCTGCCCTTAACCTGCAGGAGTGCAGGCGTCTCCAGTTACCCCACGAAGGCGGCCAGGTGTGCCTGAACCGCGCCTGGCATGGCAAACTCAGGCTGCTCGAAATAGCTTGGGTTCATGCCATGGCAGAGCTGCAGCAGCCTTGGATCTATCACCCGGAGCGGGGCAAGGCCGACGGCACTGCCTGGCTCTGCGGGCTCAGGGGGCTGTGGGGCTCAGAGCTCCCCGCCATTGGGCACCAGCAGCAGGACAGGGCTCGAGGGGCAGTTCGGCATGGGAAGGCAAGGCAGCAAACCCCTGCCCACACTGGATGCGGCCAGGGAGCCCACAGGGAGCTGAAAGGAAAAGGGGTTGTCTCCAAAACTCTGCTGGGCTGAGCGTGGCTTCCTTGCTGGAAAGCCAAAAATAGTCTCTTTACTCAGAAGAGGCTGTAGGAGGGATCTCATCCGAAGTGCAGCCAAATACCTAGGAAGCTGTAGGACAGACCCAGAGCAGCACGGCTTCACCAAGGCATTATCAGACCTTGGAAAGGCAGCAGCTGTAGCCGAACCAGCCGATAACCCCGTTCCCTCCGGGCATGTCATCATGCCAAAGGCTGGCTGGCAAAGGGACACCCCACCCTGGCGGAGCTGGGGAGCAGCCACGTGCCGCCATGGCCACCCTTTGTCTGTGGCAGAGGTTCAGCTCAGGGGATGGAGATGACGAACAAGGGATTTTTCCAGTCTTCACAGCCTGGCTCAAGGCAGAAGGGATATCTGGAAACCCCCTGGGCGGCTCTGCTGTCCCTGCGGTGCCAAACCCCTCACAGGCAACGTCATCCTCTGCGGGGCCGCCGCTGCCTGCCCTGGGCAACACCAGCTGCTGCTGGGTGAGCTGGCAGGGCACTGGGGGACCAGAAAGGCCGTGCCCCTGCCAGGGGAGCGCTCAGACCAATTGCTCACACGGCAGCATCTCTGTGCTGCGCTGATGTACCGTCTCCCCTTTCCTGGGGGTCTCGCTCCCTCCCCCAGCACTTCCGTGGGCAGTTATTCCTGGAAACATCCTGGAGTCACCTTCAGTCATGCCTTCGCCCGCTGACATTTATAGAGCTTCCAGCGGCTGATGGATTTAATAGCGCGAATCTCTCCCCAGCCCCAGCCTGTGTTTATGCCTTTCCCTCTGCGGGATCTCTCATCGCCCCGGTGCACAGTGAGGGCTAAAGGCGAAGCTGCAGCTCCACTGCCAACAGCGTTCAGCTTCGAGGCTGGGAGACCCGTCCTGGCAGA